GTTTTCGCAGGCATGCGCACCTGACGCATGTTTACATGCGTGTATGTAGGGGTGGGGACTTTAAAAAAATTAGTTATTTTTTATTCTTTTTTATGTGTAACTTAAAAAAACATTTTTGGGGAAACTTTACATTTGTTTCCTATTTTTTTTTTCACTTAACTTTATTGCTATCACATAGGGGGCTAAGAAATCCCCATATGTGATAGCAAAAGAAGTGAGAGGTCCTCTTTATGGAGACATCAGTGGTCTCCAAGACCCTTGTCACCTAGGAGCCCCCGGCAGGGCGGCGAATGTACCGGCCCGTGGCCCGTGAGTCGGTACTTTGTGGCCGGCAGCCAGCTCACAAGTCAGGTACGCGGTCGAGGACCGCGTACCTGACTTGCGGGAGCAGCTACACGGTCTGCATCTCTGTCGGATGCAGACCGTACTTAGCAGCCTGAGACCCTGCAGAGCCCACCTGAGACCCAGCAGAGCCCACCACAGATCTTGTAGAGACCACCACAGACCCTGCAGAGCCCACCTGAGACCACAGCCAGGTGGGGTAAATTTAGTGTATGGGGGGGGCGCCCGAGTTTTGTCTAGCCTAGGGCAGCCCCAAACCTAAATACACCACTGGATGAAGCACTGATCTGCTTCATCAGCTTCTCTCCAGCATCTGAAGCTGGAGAGTGACACGAGAATGCGGACGTTATGTAATATACACCACTTCCGCATTCTGACAGCGGAGAGGGGACCGGAGGGAGATCGTGAACCGACCTCCCTCTGATCCCCTGTTACAGAGGCACTATGATGGTCCCAGGCTCGCACCGGGCACAGCGGAGCACGGGATCAGCGTGAGGGGGTAGGGGGGGCGCACATACCGGGACCACATACAAGCGATCCGCCGGATCGCTTGTATGTTAACAGGCATCGCTGCCGGTTTTTAAATTAGGTGTCTTTCCCGCTCTCGCACGGCCAGCGGCGCGCACGAGTGGGCGGGACTAACAGGACGTGTATACACGCCCAGTTACATTCAAGAAGCTCCCGGCCGGCCGTGTATGCACAACGGCCGGCCAGGAGGTAGTTAAAAAGTCTGATATAAATTTGTAGGGGAACCCCATGCATTTTGGCTTGGTACATGGCTGACTGAAGCTTGGAGACCATTGTTTTAAATCAGCTCCATTTTCAAATCTTACCTGAGCAAATTGAAGAGAGATGCTGATTGGTTGCTAGGGGCAACTGCTCCAGATCTGTCTGCTCCAGTTTTGATAAATTCCCCCCATTAAACACTTGCACCTGTCACCTGATTGTCAATGACAGTTATTAATGTCAACTGACTGATCATTCATTCATTTCAACTGATTCTTCATGAGGGATCAATAAACAGGTTCTCACTTTAAACCTTCTCCTCCATACTACATCCTGTAGTTGGCACCTGTTTATATCGTTGGAATTCAATCCTTCATATATGATCCTTCTAAATAGCTATCCATTGTCAATACAATTTTTTGATGTTTGCAAAATGCAACAATACATATGTTTGAGACCCGCATACATTGAAGATGATGGCAGCTGTTAGTTACCTGAACCCCACAGGGCAGTGCACTGGTTTGCCAGCGTCGGACACTTTCCATGAAGACAATAACCTTGGCCATTCATACAAGAAGCTCCGTCTTTTTTAAAAAGATCGAGGCAGAGATTGGATTTCCCATCACACTTGTCCGGAAGGTCACAGTCATGAAGGCTGAGTCGGCACACGCTTCCCTCTTTTTTCATCTATAGTACCACCAAAATTCACATTCATTAGCACAAGACCCTTGGAGGTTTGTTCAAAAGCATTCTCACCTACATGAGTATTCTAAAAATTGGGTTCAAATGGGCATTTTGGTAACACTGTCTCAGTGTGATAAAGGGATGATAAGGGTCCCAACCGATCCTAAACAGAAGGCCTTCAACAATATCTATCGTCCACATATAGTGGCATTCTAAAATCTGTATTGGCACCACGGGATTAGACTATGTAATAAGAACTGAGTGGTTTCTCAAGCTTTTATACCTCCCATCCTATTCTGGGACAATCAGCTTTGTTCAGCTTTATTTATCTCCAGGAAAAAAAAATCTTATTGCAGGGAAGCTGCCCACTGACATCATCACATATGCTGCATATATAGCCCAACATTATATGTGAGGATGCCGAAGGATAGTCCACAAGCTGGAGTGCAGGGGAAACGAATGCCAGGGGAGTGCAGGGGATTAGTTAAGTAAAGGCCTTAACACAGGTACCATAGACCTAAAGAAGCAGTTGATCCTTGCAATGTAGAGAAAGAGTAGTAAAGCACAACCAATGTGTAGCACTGCAAAGTAGGAATCAGAGTCTGCACATGTAATGAGCAAATATGGATGCTCCCATATGCATATTATACACAGAAACATTGACACAAATGAATAACATTATTATCATCAAACTGATCTCTTTTATTCATGGGCACACTGCAAAATTGCATGAACATTCTAAAATAAATACACCTCAATATTAATTTCCTTTAATTTGTACTCTAGATTGATGGATGCTTTAAAGTGATGTAACTCACCTGACATTTCTCACAGCATTCCCCATCTGCACAGACAGCTCCTGCTTTCAGATTACATGTGAGGGCATCACAGCAGGGATTGGTGCATTCCTAATAAGAAAAACACAATGTGTCCAATGCGCTCATTATATGGCGGTAAGTATAAACAGTACCAAGAAATAGTTCTCAAAATCAGTCCAGTCAACAAGATGAAGAATCTGCAGCAATTCATTAAGTAAAGTAGTAACTACTGTATGTATCCATTTAGGGGCACCTAGCAGAATATGAGTCAGAGCCTGTTCCATTATTATTATTATTATTATTATTATTATCTTCTCAGTTAGCATTGCATTGCAGGCTGGAGCTACTATGGTTGCAGTGAAGGGAGACACCCAGAGTGGGTTGTTGACATGAGATGAGCTTTGCAAGTTAAGTTTTATTGTACCTGTCTTTTTATTATCATTGCAGGGATCCCAACCTGAAGAAAGCAATTTCAGGGATGTACCCCTCTCAGTTCAGGGAGGTGCCCTCTGCCCCCATTCCCCCCCCCCCCTGAAATGATGGCAGATAGCCCGGGAAGCAATAGCTTCTTTGCTATCTGCTGTTTTTTTTTTTCAGTATTCTGACAGCTGCTGCAGTCAGAATAAAAAAAAAGCATAGGAATGAATAGCTAGATTGCTATTGACGATTTCAATTTGCAATATCCAATAGCAAGCTGGCTATTGCACCTGCCCTCTGCTGCTGTCAATCACTAGAAGAGGACCTGATGGAGAACTTCAGGTCCCCTTTTGCTGATTGGCAGCAGCAGTGGGCGGGTGCAATAGCTAGTCTGCTATTGGCTATGGCAAAGTGAGATACCCAATAGCAATCTAGCTATGCATTTTTTTCTCTGACTGACGGCGGCCGACTTCTCCGATGTCACAAAAACAAACAAAAAAACAGATAGCAGGGAAATGTTTACTCTGCTAGATACAGCAGAGTAAACCTTTCCGGGAGAAAATGTTTCTCTCCCGGGCGACCGTTAGCCCCTATCTAATAGCGGGAGACCCCTGGAGCATCCGGGAGAGTTGGGATGTTTGTCATTGCAGATCTCAATAATCGTATTTTATGAGGAGGAGGTGTCTGTCTAGTTGTATTTACTGCTGGAAGAGATTTGCAGCCTTCCCTCCTTTCCCTCCTGAACATATCAAGTGGATATACAGAACCAAGAAGACTCCAGTATTTGAACAGCGCAGGAAGTGGACATCATCTGTCCAATGTACGGGTACCCTGAGTTCACAGCAGTATCATTCAACAACAGACCTTTTAGTCAGTGGATTGTGGGAATTAGGTTAAGAAATATTTTGTCAAATTCTCTGTCATCTAATCCCAATTTGCTATAAATGCCGACCTTTGTATTTAAGGGACTCAATGAATTGTAATTTGAATTACAATTGAATTGTTTAGTAACGCTTACAGGTCTCGGATTCAATGGGAAGCAGCGCACAGCTTTAGAACTGTCTGGATACATTTAATAATGTACTAATGAATGCAGAGCTGCAATGATGTATGACTTGTATATCTGCCTGGAGTTCATCTTTGATGAGAAAATGGAAGTATCTATGTTTACTGTGAAAAACAATATTGTGCCGAGCTAATAATCATAAATATCTAATAAATTGAAACATATATAAATGAGTCACATATATGAGCCTTCAAACAAATGAGGCATTGAAAATATCTACACACATACCAAAAAGCAATATAGACAAAAAGAGTGCCAGGAAAAAAACAAAAGCAAACAATGGTGATTGTGCAAAAAAAATCCTCAGATGATTTGCAATCATGCGAATCATCTGAGGAATTTTTTTGCACAATCACTATTGATGCGAATCGTCTGAGGAATTTTTTGCACAATCACCATTGATGTGAATCATCTGAGGAATTTTTTTGCACAATCACCATTGATGCAAATCATCTGAGGAATTTTTTTGCACAAGTAATAGGCCAAGGTACCTTGGCCGTGTTTGTGGGAGGAGTTGCGGCGGCTCTCCTCCCCTTAAGAAGGGTGACAGGGAGCTTCAAGGCACGTCACGGTGAGGTCACGCTTGACCCTCCCGCCCTTCCCCAGGTTCTATCATTTCACTAGAGTGTGCCCACTTATTTGGCACGCTGACCACAAAATCATGGCACACATCAGGTTGGTATCAGTAGGGGTCATGAAGACTTCGGAAGCCTAAGTAACTCTGACCACAATCACCATTGTTTGCTTTTGTTTTTTCCTGGGACTCTTTTTGTCTATATTGCTTTTTTGTCTGTGTGTAGATATTTTCAATGCCTCATTTGTTTGAAGACTCATATATGTGACTCATTTATATATGTTTCAATTTATTAGCTGTCTATGATTATTAGATCAGCACAATATTGTTTTTCACATTTTCCAGATATTTAGTTTATATCCTTAGTGCTTGGTAGCTCTTATTTTCACATTTACACTTACTGGCGCTGATCACCTTATTGTTTATTTTTATCTATGTTTACTGCACTTCTCCTTTGCTGCTTATTGCTTGCTACAAACGCACTTTACCCTCTTCTGTCTTGAGTGAAGGTTATAATACAGACTGACCTGTTCAGTTCCACAGTCACACTGCTCTCCCATCTCCACAAAGTGGTTTCCGCACACTGGTGGGGCCATACTGGTCTTTTTATTGGGTTCATTCAACAGACACGTGGGCACCTTGGTCATCAGGAAAGTCTTGAACTGGTCCAGGCTGCATTTACTAAATGTATAAGGGATGGGAGAACTGTAAGGGGAGAGAGAGAAGACAAATGATTAATAACTCAGAGAAAAAGGAGGCAGACAATGATATGGTGGTATTGTTGTAGAAGAACCCAGACCACTGTCTTGTGGGGTGAAAGTATAATCCATGTTTATTGAACATATATAAGCTACATTAGACATGTAAGATTTGTTTAGTTCCGAATTGAAATTTGGAGGAATTTGGACATTCGGATGCATCTGAATGTTCGAATGAAAGAAATAACATGTCCAAATTTTGGATAACTATGTGATTGTGCCGTATCTCTCCTTCTCCCGGTCAAATCTCTACTGCGCATGCACACGCCCCATGATCATTCACGGCCGCTCGAGAATCTTCAGATCTTCAGACGGCAGCGACCGGCGGAGACACAGGTAATTTTTTACATGTTTGGTAACTTTTTTTATAATTTTTTTAATGTATTTGCATATATCTACGGCTTGCAGTGGATACTGTTTATGCAAAAAAAAAACCCTAAGGTGTAAAAGAGAACTATGGGGTAAGTGTTTTTCTCCATAGTTCTCTTAAGGGTCACGGGAGGACATATACTAGCGTCCTCCCGTCACCCAAAGCTCAGTACATCGCGAGACTTCCGCAGCCGGGACGGATCCCGACAATGCTGTTGAGATCCACCCAGCTGTGTGAATGAACCTCTGGCTCTGCCTATCTGGAGGCAGAGCCAGCTGTACCCGCCCCCTTCCCGTCTGTTCCTCCAGTCAGCATTGGAGGATCGGAGCGAGGAGTGGGGGAATCCCTGCGGGGAGCTGTGACTGACAGTCACCGCTCTCTGCAGTGAGATGATCGAGAAGTGAGCGAGCGACGGTATGTGTTCGTTCACTTCCCGATCTATTGAGCCGACCTGTGACAGTTTCATTGTCACGCGTCGGCTCGAACTATGAGGATGAGCGATTTTCACTCACTAGTTCTCCTTTAATTTACAACCTATAGGCTGCTCCATAGGCTGCTATGGCTAAGGTTACACCAATGGTCATGTATTTAATTGCTGAAAACTATGGATGTACCGATACTAGTAACAATATCAGTGCTGATACCGGAGTATTTGGGCGAGTACTCGTACACGCCCAAATGCGCCGATACCTTTTCCGCGTAATGACACGCCTCTCGGCTTCCAGATTGGCCGGGAAGAAAAACCGGTATCGGTGCATCCCTATTGAAAGCACTCATTCCCAACAATTTCCTGAAATGAAGAGGTTTGTCAGTGTGCTTGGTGAGCTGTCGCCTAACTGCCCCCAAGCAGTTCTCTGCAGGCAGTGTTTTTGTCTAATTTTCCCTGGCCCCCATTTCTACAAAAGCATTGCTCTCACTAGACAAGCTAAAGCCTCAGTGATGACAAGGCAGCATTCTGCTTCTCTGTCACTGCCCAGAAAGCCATTTACAACACAACCCAAAGCACTCCCAAGGGTCTGCCTCTATAGTGACTTGCTACAGACAGCTCTTGGTAGTTGTAGTTGTAATGTTGTGCCATTCCACCTTCCCCGACTAAAGCCGGCATAAACACAGGTAACAGGTTGTGTTTGAGACAATTGATTAGGATCTGCCACCCAGTATAGAGGGAGAGGTGGAAAGGAATAGCTCCCACCAAAATTATAATTCTCTTGCAAATCATTGTAGCACCTGAAAAGTCTGGGTCCATTGACAGCACAATTATTTACATACATACTACTTGTGCTGCCACATCAGCTGTTACTTTCTGCTATTGTTATTACACTGCTATATATTGCATTGTATATCATTATGTTATGCTATATTCCTGACAACTAGTGGTAGATTAGCATTATTACAGCTTAATTTCTGTATACATTGGCATCTTCCACTATCACCCCCGATGTTTTGTGTAAATTGATAAAGCCCTCTAGTTAGACTCCCAGCCTCACTGTGTTAAGAGAGCTTTGCACATGGTTTTACAAAGTTTCCAGAAATGTCTTCCTACCTCTAAGAATGATAAAGAATCACATCCTTTGTATTGTCAAGCCTGAATAAACCACACTGAATTATATTCAGAGTTTTCTTGATGAGTTGGACCTGCCTGTGGATATCAGCTCAGCAGGTTGTCAAACTATCCGTACAGACTGAGGGGGTTATTCAGTTAGCTGCCGAAGGCTTATTAGTGAATAACCATCTTAGTCTCAGGAAGTATGTTCAAATACATAAATCGGTGGTTGAGACAGAACCTACATATACCAAGCTCTTACCAACAATATTCCATTATTTTTGCTCACTTCATGCAAACTATAGCATCTTGTTGTTGGTCTATAAGATTCTATTCAGCTTCTATATCCTCTAATAGTATTGTGACCTCGTTCTTATCCCTGCTGTTGCTAAAAATTACTTATTTATTAATCAGCTTATTCTGTAGGGAAATGAGTACCAAGAAGAGACGATGGACATATTACCATGTGCTCTTTAAGTGAACTTTTGCTTAATTCTTTTCTCCACAGCAAATCCTGCTTCAAATTATTATTACCTCCACATCCACTAAACATGTTTAGTACCTAGAATGTATTACTGTCTTTCCATGTTTCTTCCTAAACAGCTAACTTCACTCCTTTTTGTATAGTTATTTAAAGCAGAACTCCAGTTAACAATTGTATTAATCCTTGCAGTGGGGCTACTGCAGGAATATAATGTGTGATCAATACAGCACTCTTCCCCCTGCCTGTGACTGCACTGAGCAGGAGCAGCAGCAGAATGATTAGGGCCATCTCTCTGCTCACTCAGATCTCTCCACCAATCAGCTTGCTCCTTGCCAGTTTCCTGGCCTTCCCTTTCCTAGTCTGAGAGTGCTGCTGTACAGGGTGAGACGGACCCCCAGTACTCAGGATGAGTATGTCCGACGCTGTCTTCTTCCTTGCTCAAGAGATATTGCAACTCGCTGATCTTTAGCTCCCAGTTTCCCCAGTCACTACTTGAGACCCGAGGGTATGGTGAAACAAACTCTGATTTTTTGAGTAACTGTGCAACTTTTTAAACAGAAAGTGATCAGATCAGATTATAATCCCATCAAATCCAACCTGCCCTCCCTAGACATTCTGACTGCACCACCCAGCAGGGCCCCAGCCAGTCATAGCAGGAGTGTGGCCAGACGCAGGAGAATGTAATTGTCCTGTGCTCCTTGGAGTACAAAGGGAGCATAACGAGGGGTGGTGCTGACAGTCTTTTGATAACAGGTTATACAGTACAACTCACTTAAACATAACCCAACACCAATACACATATTTTTTTTGAAGCCCGTGGACGTGCATCAAAACAAACTTCCCCCTGTGAACAAAAAAAGTGCAACCGTGAAATCACAGCACACAAAAACGTGCACAAGGGTGCAAGTTCCTTCAAAAGAAGGGACCTACTTTCCCGACCCCCCGGGGCGCAAGGCTCCTGACAGGGGTTGAGACTGTTGGCCCACCACCCCGAAGGCCGGTGGACCATTTCCGTCGGGGACCTGCCGAAACAGGTCCCTCACAGTACTAGGCAGGGGGGATCTCCCGAAGAGAAACCCCCCTCCTGGGTGGGAGGAGACAGAGAACCCCGTAGGAAGCACAGAAGAAACCTGCACCTTCAGCATCTGTGGGTCAATGCTTTTTAAAAAAGCCAATCGTGCATTAAGTGCAATAAATAATAAAGTGCCAGTGCACCACGCTGACAGGCCTTAGGGGCCGAGTGCAAAAAAATTGCCCCGGACTAGCCATGAGGCCTGTCCAAGAGGCGTTGTGCAGAAAAGAGCAATGTGGTGTGTGACCGAGTGATCAAGTGAGTCAAGTGGGGTCCCATACCCATGTGACTACCTGAGCACCCCTGGGACGCCACCCCCAGGGGGCACAACACCACGGGCTTCTGCCGCCCCCAACCCTCTAGCCTCGACCAAGCTTCGTATGCATTCCCATCAGGAGATAGTTCACCTTCAGAGATCCCTCCGCCGGAGCCCACCCATTACTAGGGTCAAAAACTCAGAGGGCCTGGAACCTCATCCGGCTCCCTACCAATTACGCCTGGAATCTACTAGGCCGTCCATTCACCCCACACAGGTGACAGCGGCCATTCAATTCCCGATAACTGATAAGAACAGATACTACACTTGATCTTAGCCAACACCAATACACATATAACCCATAAACTGATGACCATGTCGTCGCACAGGGTATTGACGCAGTGTCCTGTAGTGATGTAAAAGTTGGCTGAAGGAACTAATGAGGGCTGTGGGGGACAGTGTAGATTAATACACTCAAAAGTGTAGGCTTCCCCATAGATCTTTGGGGCTGAATCCTCTTCAACGGAATGGCATCTGGCGATGGGAGCAGCAGGAGCAGTAAGGTTTTAAATTTTTTTTTACAGGGAGCTGCTTTAACATTTCTTATCTTACCCGACATACGGCGACATTATGCAAGTCAATGAGGAACACGAGCAGTTTGCGTTATCATGATTCACTCCCAAGTTGTGGGAAATCTCGTGGACAAATGTGGCTCCAACAGCGGCTGATGACTTAGTGAAGTCCTGAGGGGAGAAGGAAAATGTAAGAGACACCGAAAGTAAACAAAGTCTGGATATAGACATGTACGGAAAAGAAAACAAAGTCAATGTTCAGATGATATTTTGCAACTACAAGTATGAGCATGGAACTCCTGCATGCACTGCTGCAGCAGGGTATTGAGAAAATGTGAAATATTTATTGGTCAACATAAGTTGATTGTTTTCTACAAGTTTTGGAAATTTGGTTTTGCAATTATTGCAACCAACTTCCTGTATGACCTGGCTGTGATGGACACAGTCACTGGGGGTCTATCACCAAGGGGAATGCTGTCTAGAACACCGGCAGGTGTTGGGGGCTGTGGGGTATATAGAAGGGCTGCGGGAGATCAATAAACATGGAACTGGTTTCAAAGCAGTCCTTGACACTTTTGAAGTGATATTGCAGCTTGATGAATGGGAAGGGCCAGTATTCTATTACTACTCAATGAAAGATAGAAAGACACTAAAGTCACCTCAAATGTGCTTTAATACTTTCTGCACTGGAGCACTTACTCATAAGACCTTATGAATAGGCTTGTCAGCATGAACTGTGTCCAGGTGGTTTTGAGATGACTGCTTTTTTGTGTGTCTTGCATCAATAAAACTTGATTGATTCTGGAGATTTTATTTGTTTGCTAATTTGCTGCAGTGAAAGGAGCTGAGGTCTGGGAGGGAGTAGGACAGGTATTGTATTAGTGGTACAGTAGAAAGGCATCATGGCACACTCACAAACCAGCATGTAAAACAACTTGTCTCACCACTAAGGACAATGACAGAGGTTTGGATACACGTCTTCTGCAAAGGATGTGTAAGCCGCACTGCCGCCCCAATGCACATTTTATAGTGCGGTCCTAACTCTAAACTATGAGAGTCTCCATCTTGGAGCACATGGGGGCAGAAGATATCAAATTGGGTGCAGGCCTGTCAGGAGGACGCCCCACCTCCTTAAAGGTACAGAGACACACAAGGGATCCCGCACATCCCATTGGCAGCTGAGAAACCCCATGCGTCGCTGCACCAAATCGGTAAAGCAAAACAAACGACAAACTGCACTGGAGCACTTACTCATAAGACCTTATGAATAGGCTTGTCAGCATGAACTGTGTCCAGGTGGTTTTGAGATGACTGCTTTTTTGTGTGTCTTGCATCAATAAAACTTGATTGATTCTGGAGATTTTATTTGTTTGCTAATTTGCTGCAGTGAAAGGAGCTGAGGTCTGGGAGGGAGTAGGACAGGTATTGTATTAGATCCCCCAATGGGCAGCAGAGTGTGTCTTTCAACGTGGAGTCACTAGACAAGACCGCACATGAAATCTTTGACTGTTCAGTCATGCTGGCAAGCACTGTAGCCTCAATGGTCAGCTCTGATGAAGAAGTGAAGACAGCGGTGCAATCGTGGATCACAGCTCACAGGGAATAAGAATAAGAAAGCTGGACAAATGGACAAAGTGTATTGAAAAGCAAGGAGATTATGTTGAAAACGGATGTATATTTGTCTTTTCTAAAAGCTGAATAAAATAAATTCTACAGCCAGAGTGCGGATAATTTTTGACTCATCCTCCTATATTCATTTAAGACTGCATGTTCAAATTATTGACTGATCATCGTTGTGACTGCCTCTTTTTCATTCTGAGCCTGATGAAGGGGACCCTGTGCGGCCCCAAAAGTGCTTGTACTGGAATGACAGTACTCAGTGGTCGCAGAGGTCGCAGCTGACTGGGCCCTGGAGTTCCGCCACATAGAGGGGCCCCTGGTAACCGCTGATTACCAGGATATGTAATATTCTGGTAACCGCTAATGTCAGTACCGGGGCCTCTTCCGCCTGTCCTGGGTCCTACTTGTTTCATGCTGCTCCCCTCACCTTGTTCTGGGTGCAGCGAGAAGTATGATCCAGCCGGCGCAGCAGCCAATGAGTGGGAAGCGCGGGTATTCTGGACCCCTCATCACACAGAACTACTGCCGAATAGAGAGCTGCATGGGTAAGAGAGGCATGCTGCGGACACGAAGGGGGAGATGTAGGGAGCTGGGAATATGAAGGGGACATGGGAGAGGAGAGTGTGGGTTCCGGGAGCAGAAAGCTGGGGACGTAAACGGGGAGATGGGGGAAAGCTGGGGACATGGAAAAGGAGAGTGTGAGGTCAGAGAGAGGAGAGCTGGGGCCATGCATGAGGAGATAATGGGGACATGAAGGGGAGATAATGGGGAGCTGGAGACATGGAAGAGGAGAGTGTGTTATTTTTTTGTCTAAAATGTATTTGTTTGTTTTTTTAAATAAATGTGTCCATTGTTTTTCTTCTTAGGGGGGGAGGGGGGCCCTTCATGGATTCTTGCACCGTGGCCCTGAGGTCACAAGTTACGCCATTAATAAATGGACTTTTCTTGATTTCACTTAAATGGTGTGCTTGTGACATCCTTTTGTAAACTAGCTTATATTTTAGGCTTCTAAATCTCACCTGGACAACTCCAGCAGAATATTGTTCATTGCACATAACCCCGATATGTGCCAATCCAACTGTAACACCATCAAAGTCTATAGCCCTGCAAGATAAACAATATTGTGTAAGAACAAATGATCTCTCTCTAGAAATATGTATAGTTTCTGTCTAGGGATGGGTTGGACGTTCGAGTCAAACGTGAGTTCGACTCGAACATCGCTAGTTTGTGTGTTCGACGTACGGGAGTACGTCGCGAGTGAACGGGATGGCTGTCGTCTTTTTAAAAATTATTATTATTACTATTTATTATTGTTTTATTTTTTATGTTGTTGAGTCGTCGTCATGGACAATGTTGGATGTCGTGATTGACCCTGGATTACGTCAGTGGATCCATTTTTTGGGGGGGCGGG